GTGAGGTAAGGGAGTTTTTAGCAGTGCGCACAGTGCCAGTAAGTTGTGAACATAGAGGGAGGGGAAATGGCTTGACGTTCTCTTTGGCAGCTGTGGGGGTGAAGGAATGCCTGACATTTTAACCAGAGACGTGCCTGGACTCGACTGCCGCTCTCCAGAGGCTCGGGGCCTTTACTCTGCGATGTGGAAGCATTTTTGCACCAACTACAAGAATTAAAATTCAGGAAAGTGGAGAATTTCAGACCACGGTATATAAATATTCCAAAGGAAAGTCTGAATTATATTCCAACAGTTTTTTTTCAAGATGGCCAACTGCTGTTATATAGTTACAGTTCCTTCGTGTTGTTCACACAGATGGTGAGTTAGGAATTATGTTTTTGGGGGGTCACTTGAAATGTGAGTAAACCCATCACCATGTTTCAGAGGCTCCAAATCAAACCACTCAGAGCTCCACGTACGCATGGAAATTTCCCTGTGTCTGGAAAAGGGTGACATTGCTGTGCGCAAATTGGCTGCTGCGCTCACCTACAAAATACACAGTCACTACGCTTTTAGAGTAAAATTCAGTGAAGCGCTTAGTGATGTCTCCACAACATGATGAGGTATGATATCAAATGCAAGTGCATACTCTCTCACTGAAAGGATGCATTTGCTTACCGAATACCAGAATAATTCGGCAATTAGGCACAGGCCGGCAAGAATTAAGGGTTGGAGAGTCCATCGTGATCACTAAAAAATACAGATTGTTATTGTGAACACAGGTAAGCCTCTCATGTGCTGTCCATGGTATTATATTGCCCACAGGGATTAGATTGGAGCACATACATTATGGTCTTGCTCAAAACCCCTGAATTCCACTGGGAAATCACATGAGCAATCTGATAGAAGGGAGTTTGATCTCCTTGGTTAAATTAATACCTTTGACGTATACTCTTCTAAGTAAACGTCACTAACTAAGGTCAGCAACTTTGCTGAACAGCTAGAATTTTACCCCTGTGTGAAGCATTTGAAACGTCCTCCCGACGCGAAGGCGTTGTCTAAATGTAATTGCTGTTGTTGAGTAAACATGGTATTTCCAAACTTTTATTTTACTTTCTTCCTCAATCCTTCTGCCTTACCCGCTCATTCCTACCTGAAGACTTTGTTCTTCAACCGTGCTCATCTACCCGTTCTCCCCGGTTCAGCGTCAAGCTCTGCCACTGTTAAACGCTCAGAGATCCTCCTTGCGTGAACTGTGCAATATAAATGCAAGTTGTTGTTGGTGGTGCCATAATAATAATAATCCTTCCATTTGATATAGCGTCTTATCATGTCTTTGAGACCTCTCAAAGTGTTTCACGGAATATATTTTAAAGTGAATTGACTATACATTTTGTGGGTGAAACACAGCAGCCAATTGAGCACAGCAGCGTCCCACAAACAGGCATAGATTGAGTGACTAAATTCTTTTTTTTTTGAATGATTTATTACTCCCGGAAAAGCAATCTGCCAATAGACTAACAATCGTGTTCCTACTTACTGCTAGGTAAACAGAGGCGTGTGGAGTAAGGAAACTTGCCCAACGTTTCACCCTGCCAGGGAATGAAACCCAGGTCCTCTCGCTTGTGAGGCGAGTGCTCTAACCACTGTGCTACAGGACTCCATGAAATTATCACCCCTATCTTCATCTGGCTCCACTGGCTCTATAGTGCAAATCAGTGATACATAGTCGGGTCTGTTAGGTATGAGGATGTGTGTTGCCCATTAAAAATCATTCTAAACAGTGAATTATCCATTGCAGCAGTTGGAGACCGAATTTGTCACTCAATGTCCTTGCCCCATCAGCCTGTTGTGTCTTTGAAAGGCTTTAAAAAACACTGAAGGAGGTTCCCATTGAGTACAGCATAATTGTAGTCAGATGTTTTTGCAGCTAAAGAGCAAATAACACAAACAGAATTCTTACCACAAAAGGCATAGTTTTACAGAATGTAAGCTAATGCTTTCATTTGGTCAAAAGCCATTGACGTTTGTTTTGTCAGTGCATGATATTGACTGACAGACATAAATTCACAATTAAATAAGAAGGATTTGTACACAACACACAGTCAGGGGTGGATTAAGCATTCCTTGTCAGTTTTTGACTAATGCATTTGAAAGACCCAGCATTCAGGACACTTGCAAGCAGACAATCAACAACTGGTGACGGCATCGCTCAGAGAGTAGTAACACTCGCTTCTAAAGCAGAAGGTTGTGGGTTCATCCGGGTTAGGACTTTGCGCTCTTAGTCTTGGCTGACACTCCAGTGCAGTGTGAGGTGCTGTCCTTCAGATTAGATGTTAAACTGAGGTCCCACCTGCAGGTTCAGGTGGACGATAATGATCCCATGGCACTAACTGAAAAAAGAAGGGGGTCCTCCTCCTGGTGTCCTGGCCTACAGTCCCCCAAATAAAATCAGTCATTCATGTCATGGCTGTTTGTGGAGCAATACTATGTGCAAATTGTCTGCCACATTCACCTATAAAAAATATAGTCACTCCACTTTACAATATTTCCTATGAAGTTCTTTGAGACGTCTTCCCAACATGAAAAACGCTAGACCAAACGCAAGGATTATTATAACTGTTCGCACATCTGGGATATATCACTTGAGCCAGCGTTACATTTAAATTGGATACATTCTGACCCCTTATTTCCCTCTGTAATGAATGAACAGTGTTAGATTTTGTCAGTCACAGGTGATACCTTGTATAATCTTTCAATTGGGGAATTGAAGAGTTTCCGTCCTGCTTCCTTCTCTTGATGTAAAAGTGAATTTAGGTGGATCTATTTTACGCAGAGGGTAGTGGGAATGTGGAGCTCTCTGCCTGAAGCGGTGGTTGAAGCAGACAGTATAGACGCATTTAAGAGAAAGCCAAGATATAAACATAAGGGAGAAGGGAATAGAAGGTTATGGGAGGGAGTCAGGAGTGGGGGGAGACTCGTGCAGAGTATAAACACTGAGTAATGGGCTGAATGGTCTGTTTTGATGCTGTACATTCTATGTAAATCTGTGTGTGGTATAGGGATCTGCCTCAGTGGCTGTTGTTCAAGTATTGGTTTATACAATCACTGCCAAGCCTGGTCCTTCCTGGCTCAACAACCGTACAAGTACACCGTCTAATAGAGGAGAGAATCATAAGCTGTTTACTTCTTCTATAATCCAAGCCCCATGTGACATTGGGTGATGCCCTTACCTATCAGGCCATCGGAGGGAAGTCAAGTTTATTTCCTTATACTGGACCCATGGGAATTGGAAAGGTTATGGAGCAGGTGTGTTTTGGAAGCCCTCACATGGTGAGTGCTATCAGCCACCATAAACCTATCATCATTTAGCTGGCTGCAGCCTCCACATGTCTTGGATTAAGATCTACTTCGGGCCCTGCTGCCATTCATAAAAACTGACCTCTGGGGCACCTGAAGGAAACAGAACTCTTGTGTTCCAACCATATTATTAAGGATGTTTAAAAAAATGAGGAAGAGCTTTCAAGGGGGTTGTTTTGTATGGTTTCTCGATGAAATAAGCCTTGCATTTAGTATTATTCTGGGATCTGCAGAATAATAATATTAATAATTCTGAATATAGATTTAGATAATAGATTAGAAATTGGTATACTGGTGCTTTGCTGGAAAGAACTAAAGACATGTTTGTTACCAGAATGTTGTTTTTGTATTACTTACAGCACTCCTGAGATACAGTGTGCTATTCAAGTGAATCGTATTTAGTTATTATTTTAGTTTTTTTTCTTTAAGCTTTGAGACCAGCCAGTTAGATCATAATAACCGTTTCTGGTCATAGAATCATAGAATTATACAGCACAGAAGGAGGCCATTCGGCCCATCGATCCCATGCCGGCTCTTGAAAGAGCTATCCAAATTAATTCCACTCCCCTACTCTCCCCATAGCCTTCCAAATTTGTCCTCCCCAAATATCTATCCACTTCTCTCTTGAAAGTTGTTATCAAATCTGTGGTCCAGTGAATTTCTTTGTGCTCACCCACATAGAGCACAAGAGTGCAATATTTTATGACAGTGTCCAATTCCCTGAATCGATTCAGGCTCCTTAGACAGGCTGAGGTGGCTCTGGACACTGAGAATCCTATTCATTCATGTTCTCTCAGCCTCCTGCCTGAACCTCACAGGCAGGAAATCAGGGCTGTTCAGCGGTGAATCGCAGCACAAAACTCAAGAGTGGTAACAAGTAGAAAAGGCAGGGTTCTGTCTCCCGGGCAGCAGGAGCCCTCGATCTCTGAACGAGCGAAGAGAGATAAAGACCCCATTGTAGTGCGGGTCTTGCCACATACTTCAATCAAATAATTTTCTTCTCTGTTGCGGCCTTGATGTGACGTGGCCTGGCTTCTGCATCTTTCACCGTTCTGCTGTGCCGTGCCGAACAGCTGCCAGGAAGAAGCAGTGAAAACTATTTCTTTCCAGCTGCTCTTTACAGATTTTCACATAGATCCACATTGGGTGGCAGAGAGCAAGTCTTACTGTGTGAACAGCAGGCATCTGCTTAATGAATGGATTTCAGCTTCTTGTGTTGTTTGAAGCTTGATGAGTATAACAAAGGCATTGCAAACTCCACCAGTTAAGTGACCTTCCCTTTCCGCAGGGAGTAATAGTGCATCACACTCTCTCTTTCTCTCTCTTTGTATTCACATGTCAGTGTAAGAAAGAATAGTTACATTTTTAAAGCACCTTACCATGTTGAAATGCTTCAAAGCACTTTATACTAATCCCTGTCAATTGTAGTGATTTTTTTTGTAGGCAAACGTAGTAGTTAATTTGTCCATTACAAAGCACCACAAATTTATCATGAGGTGAATAGCCAATTCGATTGTTGGCTGTCATCCAGGAGAAACTTCTTTCAAATCGTGGGATGGGATCTATAATGTCCACCTGACAAACAAGGAGCTAGAGTAATGTTTTCAGGTCTTATTCGATAGTACACGACTGAATTGCTGATATCTGTCATTGCCGTGCAGGTGGGAATACGCTAAAGAATCAGCTCTTCCGCCTGAACTGGGCCTGGATCTCTCTGGAGAAGGAATACTTCCTGGTGGATGAGAAGTCCAAGTACCTGGAGGTCATTCTGAACCGCAGAGGCTACCTGGGGGAAACGTCCTTGTTGGTAAGTAACAGCAACAACAACAAATTACACTTGTATAGCGAGCGTCCTTCACATTGGAAAGGCGTCCCAGGGCGCTGGACAGTCGGGGGTTTTTGGACTCGAGCTGGGAGTTGGGGTCAGGAGGGGTGGAGAGCAGTGAGGGTGGGGATAGGAGGGTGACTGAATAAATAAAGCAATGACTTCTCTATTTTTTCCTAAAACCTCCCAACCCCGCAGTGGGGATGGGTGCAGATGACTGTATCACATGAGCTCAAATCCCCTGACCAGATATTCAAGCTATATAGTGTTCACTTCAGGATGCACTTGGAGAACCACATGCAATTCTAGTCACTGCAACATAAGGGGTGTGGGCTGTCAACCAAGTCCTTAGAGCAAAAGATCTCTCTCACTTGTTATCAGCAGGATGGCCGTTTTGAAACCTACTTAAGATTATCCAAACAGGACTGAATGTGAGTTCCACGTATGGATGCCATCTACACATGAAAATTGCTCTCTGCAGTAACCATTTTGCTATTTCACCCCCCCTTCGCAATCTCTTTGTGCCCAGCACATGGCCATTGAGGCCATTTGAAGGGCTTCAAGAACTCCCTTGTACTGAGATCAGCTAACTTTGGCCCAACATATAATAATAATAATAATAATAATAATAATAATAATCCTTCCATTTGATATAGCGCCTTATCATGTCTTCAAGATGCCTCAAAGCGCTTCACAGAATATGCTGGCATCTTTTAGCTCTGTGTCTTAATATTACTCTGGTGATTGCCAATGCAGGGAGCGTGGAAGCAATGCCTTCTTTATTTCTTTTAAAAAGGGGGTTGGGAAAAGTTACGACAGGCAAATTGCTGGAGGTGAAATGCTTCACACATGTCACTCTGAGCGGATTGTTCAGGTTTGCACAGAATTAAGTGCTAATTAAGTTAGAAGCTTTAAAACAAACAGCGTGCTCAGTTACAGCAAAATTAATCCCAAACTCTGCCCCCTGTTTATTTTTCTTATTAACGGCACAGGAACAAAAGGTCACCGGTTGAGATATCTCCCCCACGGTGAAACGCCAAATATTTTCAGATGAGGGGAGCTGTTTGTTAAAATTGTGCAATTTCCCCCCAAAAAGTGCCCCAAAATTTCAAAACAAAAAGGAACGCTCTGATATCTCTGCCTTTTTTTCATTTTTGGGGTGGGGGGAAGGTTTAGCTATTTTTCTGAACTGACTCTAACAATGCGGAACATGCTGAGTGCTGAGTTGTGATGGAAAGCTCCAGGTTACACAGACTGCACACCAGCTGTCAAAACAATTTTGCTTAACACTCTCACGGGGCAGGACACCCGTGTGTTTCTGCGCCCGGCGAGAGACCAGTCTGCAGGCTGGAAAATGCGGAGCAAATGGCTCGGTTATTAATCCGTTTTGGCAGATAAGGAAGTTTTTTTGCAAACTTTTCTTCCTATAATACAGAGGAAGCCGGGAGGGTGGTTTATTGTATACCATGGCTGGGCTCGTGGTTATAATAAATAAATAATAATCCTTGAATTTGATATATAGGAGTCCTGTAGCTCAGTGGTTAGAGCACTCGCCTCGAAAGCTGGGTTCGATTCCCAGCAGAGTGAAACCTTGGGCAAGTTTCCTTACTCCACACGCCTATTAATCCCTCAAGAAAAAAAATAATGTTACAATTGGTCACTTCAATCCACGACTGTTTGTGGGACACTGCTGTGAGCAATTGGCTGTCGCGTTTCACCTACAAATATACAGTCAATTCACTTTACACTATATTCTGTGAAGCGCTTTGAGACGTCTAGGAGACATGAAAAGGGCTATATGAAATGCAAGGAGTACATAACGCCTTATCACGTCTTCTAGACGTCTCAAAGCGCTTCACAGAATATACTGTAGAATGAATTGACTGTGTAGTTTTGCGGTTCTATTTGCGCATCCCCTTTCATCTGTCTTGGTTTTCGGAAGGTGCACTTGCGAGGGTAGCCTCATTGGTTCTGGAAAAATGCTTCTGTCCTGCCAGGGTCCACATTGAAAGAATGCTCTGTATGTGAGAGTGTGGGGAGAGGGAAGGGAGAGGGGAGCCAGCTACCTGGAGAGCTGGGCTCATTCATTACTTGGTATTTGTTTTGAAAAAATTGGCTTAACCACATACTTCTTCCCACGGCAAACAGTGCTACAGAAAATCCTGACAATTGCACTTCTCTGCTGTTATTGTATAAGTTATTAACACAAGCCAATGCTTTTGGTGAAGATTCTCGGACCAGCAGGGGCTCTCCACTCTCAAAAAGAGATGTCTCAGAGGGGACCTTATAGAGGTGTTTAAAGTATTAAATGGGATTGAAAAGTACCTCCAGAACGATGCTTTAAGATGCACTGAGACAACAACAAACAACAACAACAAATTGCATTTATATAGCACCCTTCATGTCGGGAGGACACCTTAAGGTGCTGGACAGTGAAGGGTTTGGACCCGGGCTTGGGGTTAGAATCAAGAGGGGCTGAGGACAAGTTCTTGAGACAATAGAACAAGAGGACACAGGTTTAAATCACAAATGGCAACTTGCTTTACCTTCTGTCCTGTGTATTTAGTGTTTAATCCTTAGTAATTTATTAATAAAAGTATTACAATTATGGGACAGATTATTGATATTTTCACTCCCTCAATACGAGACTATGGAATGAAATCCACTTTGCGATTGACTGTTCTGGGCCAGTCTGAGCTTGTCAGTTTTATCCAATGGAAAATTGCTGTATTTTGCAGGAGTTCAAGCAACCATGGTGCAGTTGAAAGTGGTCACCTCCTTGAAATAGGACAACAACTTGCATTTGTACTGTACAATTTACAATATATAGTGCCTTACACATTGGGAGGATGTCTCAAAGCGCTGAATACCTCTGGCTGGGCACCTGAGCTGGGGTGGGAGCCGAGGATGCAGGGGGAAGAGGGAAAGATGACCCCAAAAGGTAGGTCTTGAGATAGACCTTGACTGAGGTGAGGGAAGGAGCGAAGGCAGCCTTCATATAGGATAATGTCTCAGAGCACTTTACAAAGACTGGGTAGGACACCGAGCGAGGCAAAGGAGAGTTAACCATACTCATGGCCAAAAAGAGGTAGGTTTTGAGGCAGAACCTGAAGACAGATAGAGAGGGGTTGAGATGGGATTGACGGAAGGCGTTTCAGAGCTTAGAGACATAGGATCTGAAAGCTCGGCCCCGATGATCTCTGAGAGCATGGGTTCTTCCCACTTGACTCCTGTTAACCCTGGAGGTCATACCCTTCACAGGTGTGATGGTCCCAGCTGGATATGAGGCATCACAGCTAAGCCTGAACCTGCAAATATCCTACAGTAACATACAGACATCTCTAACAGGAATCACTGAATAACCAGCAAGAGCACAAATCCTGACTGAATTTCACTTCCTAACCCAACTGTATCATCTCAGTTGTCATGTTAAACAACAATATTAATCATTTGCATTTGATATAGAACAATTTGTATTTATATAGCACCCTTCACATGGGGTAGCTCTTGGGAGCTTAACACTGGCGTAGTTTGATGCCGAGCCGAGGAGAAAGGGGGAGATGACCGTAGGTATGATCGAAGAGAAAGATCCTCAGGTGCGATCTAAAGAAGGGTCAAGACAAAGGAGTTCCAAGGTTTGGGGCATAGAGTCTGAAAGCACAATCGTTAATGGTGGAGTGGAGGGGTTGAGGGACGTGCAAAAGTCCTGAGCAATAGCCTGTTATTAGGTTGTTAGTGTTTCACAGGATTTTACTGTAAAGTGCAGTAATTGTGCACCTGTAGGCAAATGTGTAGGAGATCAACTAACTCAGCACCAAATACACATTGAACTTGGGGGCCCTCCCAGTTTGTATGTGTCAGCTAGTCACTGGATAAACAGATAAACTTACTGACTCTGAGAGGGAAACAGCAGGGTGTCCTCTTTATGATATCTGTCAAAGTCAGATTAATATCTGAAATAACACAGAGCATGTAATGCAAAAGAAAATTGATGCTCTTCACTAGGGACACAGGTCAAGTGAGACACAGCAAATAGTATCCGCAGCATAAATACATCTAGTGTCAGATTTATAATTGAATGACCTGGGCAAAGACCATAAAGGCAATTGGGAACATTCTCTGATACAGTAGGTAATGCTGTGTAGTCTCTGGGTTTCCTTGGATATGAATGGAGAAGGGGTATGGGAGGAATGGACAGACAATTTGAGCTAAATTGCCTGTTTTGGAGCTGTATGGTCTCTGCAATGCTATGTAATATATATATAGCTTTGCCACTTGGACTGCATAGTTCTCCTTCTGTTGGTCTCAGAAGCGATTCCTCTTGAGCGCTGACTAAGTAACACTTATCAAATATCCAAAGTTCTTTGTTAATATGACAAGTTGCACTGATAAAATAGGAGGATGCCTCAAAGTACTTCACATGAATGGTGCGTCACAGTGAACAAGGTGGAATGGAGGCGGAACTTGACCAAAGAGATAGGCTTTTCAAAGTAGTGAGAAAGTGTGCACTGAGGGGATTTTTAGAGGCAGTTTCAGAGAACGGTGGGTTTAGCAGTTGAAAGCTTGGTCATTGCTCCAACCAGTCACTACACCTTACAGTAAAATCCTATGAATCTCTTTGAGACGTCCTCCTTATGTGAAAGGCACCAGACCAAATGCAGGGGTTATTTATTTATAAAGCACTCTGAGACTCTACCTCCATGAAAGGTGCTATATAAATGCAAATTGTCATTTGTTTGCATTTTTATTTCGTCCACTGTACATGTACCATTGCAGCTTCCCTGCTGTAGTTTGCAGTGTGTGCACCAGGCAAGCATCCCACATCTCTGAAACCATTTCTATTACTTGGAATGATTACTTTGCTGTTGTAAGTGAGGCATGTGGCTTCACGATCCAGCTTGCCTGACTGTAATAGTGCTTTATCCATTAATGGTGCAATCAAATGATCCCAGTTATGCATTTATTCGTTTCACCAGTCTGATACTTGGATCATTTGGAGATTGTGTGTCGGGTTTGTTTGGGATTTGATCCAACTGTGCTCCTTATTCCATTGACAGGCATCGGTACAAAGGATGGCACAGCTGAGAAGGATAAGGATTTCAGGGGAAAATCCCAGAAACAGGTGCAGTTCAATCCAGGTCAGACCACAGCCACATGGAGAGTCCACATTCTGACGGATAGTGAATACGAGGAGACGGAAACATTCCAGATTGTTCTGTCTGAGCCAGTCATGGGAGCGCTCGAATTTCCAGAGATCGCAACTGTGGAGATCGTTGACCCCGGCGATGGTAAATATCTCTCTCACTTACATTTCTACGTCTTGCCTGACTCTTGTAAAGCAGGGTGTAGTGGACGGGCACAGTGTGCACATAGTCGGTAGCAGCTGAAGCTGACGCTAATAATAATGATGATCCTTGCATTTGAAACAGCCCCTTTCACATCAGGAGGTCGTTTCAAAGCGCTTTCATGGGATTTTACTGTGAAATGTAGTGACTGTATTTTGTAGATGTGGTTCACGTGATCGAAAATCGAAATTTTAACAGAGCAAAAATGTGACTTGTGATGTGATAATTATCACATAGACCTCAAATGCGGTTAAACCCTGCCCTTAAAATATCTCCTTCATGCTAGTCGTAAGAATGCTAATGTCTCTCCCAAAAAAGGGAAGGGTTCTCATTAATTCCCCGGTTGGTATATGGGATTAATCCACATACCAAGTAAAAGTTTATAAAATGTTTATTTTACCTCAGCTTCCGGTCAGACCCTATTGAGCATGTGCGAAATTTTAACTAGTCCCTAGGCCCAAACATCACAAGAGGGTGTTCCCCAGACTCCGCCGTGAATACAGGGATCATTACAGAGTGAACACCCATTTCCATTTTCCCCACCTATTACAATTTCAGGTGATTGTTTTTTGCCCAGCCTCTGCAAAAGATTCAAAATTGGTACAAAGTCTTTTTTTCTCTTTAGGGAGGGAGCGAGGAATATTTGCTACCAAAACTATGCTGATACAATAATCTCTCCTTCAGTGGTTTGGCTGCATTTCAGCCAACTGAAGCCGCTGAGACATTAATCAGGTGTATAGGAGCTCAGCATGTTTCATAACTTTGCAAACTCTCTTTGAACCAATTGTTTGCTAGAAATCTGCAAAATATTGAGAGGCCTGAGCCGTTATGCGCCATGTACGTAACCTGAATCCCCAAAAAATCAGATTGAAAGAAAAGGTACAGACCAGCCATATTTTCCCTTATACTGTCTGTCTCAGGATAATACCAGCTGGGTACTGAATTGAAATGTCACTAGCCTCATTGTAATCCCTCCTCTTTCCAAGCAGAGTTATTCTATTTAAAGGTGATGCACTGATGCTCCTTTTACCCTCCATCTGGAACTCTTTCCCCAAATCTCTTAATCTCTCTGCCTCGCCCCTTCCCTCTCCTACTTTCAAATCCCACATAAAGACCTAACTTTTTCAGTGCACTTTCTGCCACCTCTCCCCCCCCTCCCTCACCATCCCTTGCTTCTCCCTTCCAGTTTGGGCTCCTACTTAATCTTTGTAAAGGGCTTTGAGATGTTCTGCCAAAGTGATAACCTGACTGAGTTGGTAACAATGTTGGGAGGTGCCGTCCTTCAAATGAGACATTAAACTAAGTTCCTGCCTGCCTGTTCAGCTGTACATTAAAAATCCAATGGCACTGTTCAAAAAGCAATGGGAGTTTCTTTCTCCGTGTGTCCTAGCCAGCAGTCCCCCAAATAAAATTGGTTATTCACTTCAAGACGTTTTGTGGAATATTCCTCTGGACAAATTGGCTGAGATGTTCCACCTATAAAAACACACAATCAATGCATTTTACAGTATATCCTGTAAGCGCTTTGAGACGTGCTACTGATGTGAAAGGCACTACATCAAATGTGAGCATTATTATTGTTATTATTAATGTGAAGGGAATTGTGTAAGTCTAAATTGTTGTTGGTGGTGGTGGTGGTGGTAGCAGTGTCCAAGCACCTGGAGTGGAGAATTGGATGGGAAAAGCCAGAAGCCTGAGCAACTTTCTGAAGTCACCCCACGTACCAACATAAAGGCAGTAAATGCTCCTTTTCCTTATCCATATAACTGCACATTAGTGACCCATTATAATTGCCCCAGCTCTTATGCTTTTGCCTATGTTCATTAACTTGAATGTTGTTGGTGAGTGTCAAATGCATGTGTCTACTACTTTTAGACTTGATTTAGTTTTTACTTTGTGGTTAGAAATGAGGTACATTCTACAACTCGTGAGATGTGCCAAGCCCTCGGGATGTTTTTTTGGAATGATAACAAGAGTCGCCTGGGGATCACTTTACTGCCATCACTTCATTGTCATTTAATAGCCTTAGTTCCTTTTGATGGTGGCCTAGTTGAAGCTGATTAACTCCATTTGAAACTGTTTGAAGTTTCTCCTCTCCTTCACTGCGTATTAGTTCTGCCTTGTCTTAGCTTCCACGGAGGTAATTGGTAGATTGATCTCACTGCCAGAGAGACTTTTAATATTGTGGAAGCCTTTGACTAAACATAACCATTCATTAGACGGGACACCGAAGGGGTTATCTTCCACTTGCTGATAAATTTACTGAAATGTAATTACCTGACAATATTAACCCAATTGAGGGTCCAAAATCCCCCTCCTCTTGCCTCTAGGACCATTTTGTCTTGAAATTGTGAAAAATTAAATTTGATCTTACTTTGAAAGTCCCATATTACAATTTTGACACAGCTGAGTGCAAACTGTCACATTTGCCAACAAATACACAGTCACTACTTTTCACTGTGAAGCCTTGACAATTTAATAATTGTATCAATTGCAAAAATTGTTAAGGATTATTATTTGATGGGTTCTCTTTAAGAACTGTTTTTGAAACAAAATGGCCTTACTTTCTTAATTTGAAGATTATGCAAAATTATGAAAAGTTCGTAAATCATCAGATCTTGCTTTGGTGACATTATTAACCATCCTCCTAATAGGAATTAGTATTGGATTGCAAGATCGGAACGTGGACCATATTTCAGAAAATTAAAATCGTGGAATCCTGGAGCGTGTTGGTTAGAGTACTCACCTCACACGTGAGAGGACCTGGGTTCGATTCCCGGGCAGAGCGAAATCTTAGGCGAGTTTCCTTACACCATGCATCTCTGTTTAACTAGTAGTAAGTAGGAACCCAGTTATTAGTCGATTGTCGGATAACTTTTCCAGGGGTGAGCATTATTTCAACAATAGAATAATAATAAAATAATAATAATTTGGTCACTTAATCCATGACTGTTTGTGGGACACTGCTGTGCACAATTGTCTGCCACGTTTTACCCACAAAATATACAGTCAATTCACTTTACAGTATATTCTGTGAAACGCTTTGCGATGTCTAGAAGTCGTGATACAATGTTAAGGAGAAGCAAATAATGTAGGAGAGCAGCTGAGTAGCTTCCTTACATGTGAAATGAATCAGACCCATTCCAGAGTGCCCACAGCTCGGGTGCCCAGCCAGTACTGTCAATCACTTTGAGATATCCTCCCAGAGAGCTTTGTTAATATAATTGGCATAGAAAACCAGGAACCTCTGAAGTTTAATTCTGCGAGTTGCTTTCCTTTCGTACCCTCTGTTATTGTATTTTTCAAATACAGGACGTGATGCTCTGAATTCCACTTACTTTCAGCTTGTGAGACCATTGTGTCTTAAAATATAAGATCGCTCATCAGAATTGAGGAAAATTCTTAAATTCTATCAATTTCCGTAGTTTTTAAAATCGAAGATGGATTGAAGATTGTGTAGTATTTAAGTATAATAAGTATATAGGAGTCCTGTAGCTCAGTGGTGAGAGTACTCACCTCGCAAGCGAGAGACCTGGGTTCAGTTCCCAGCAGGGCAAAACCTTGGGCAAGTTTCCTTACTCCACACGCCTGATAATAATCCCTCAAGAAAAAGAAATAATAATAAAATTGGTCACTTCAATCCACGACTATTTGGGAAACACTGCTAAGTGCTATATCCAATGCAAGGATTATTATTATTATTATAATGCGAGGGACCCAAACCACTATATTAAAATGCAGTCTGATTGAAATCTGGCTGGGGTGAGAATATTCCTCTGACCTCGGATTGACATCCTTCACACTGAGTCGTTTACCTGAAAGAGGAATGCATCTGCAGGTAAATTGTTTGAAGGAAAGATTTTGGATTGCACTGCAAGGTTAAAATGAGCAGAACATTGAGTTGGTATGTGGCTTGCAAGCCAGAGCAAGGAGCAAGGATTGCAGCCAGTTCTGACTTTTAGCAGCTAATCTGATAATGCTCTCAAAGATGGGAAGCTCACTGCTGGCACAGAATGATGGGTGACAGAGGGTAATGTGTAGCTGTGGCTGTTCAACAGCTGGACTTGTTCCTTTTGGCTCGTCCACAGGAATTTGCTGTTAACGTAGCAGGTCACAAACCAAAAGTACTAGATAAAACGAAGAGGAAAGAGCTGATTCCTTTACTCGCTAGGATTTAGAAACAATTCCTCACGCTCCCAAGTTTGGTGCAACTTTAACATCAACTTGCATTTATATAGCACTCTGCTGGTAATGTCACAGAGCGTTTTAGAGGGACAAGATTGAATGCCGAACAAGGGAGAGGGGGAGGTGGCCATAGGCATGCTCAAAGAGGTAAGATTTGAGGCAATAACAAATTGCATTTTTAAAGCGCCTTTCACCTCGGAAGGACGTCCCAAAGCGCTGGACCGGCAAGGGTTTGCACCCAAGCTGGGGGTGGAATCAAGAGGGGCGGAAGGCAAGGGGGTGGGAGGGTGACTGAAGACAAGACTTGGAGATGATTTGAGAGAGCTATGAGGTGGAGTGCAATAGGGAGGAAATTCTAGAGAGGAGCGTGGAGCTGTAGGATAGGCCACTTAATACTTTCACTTCTCGGATGAGGGTGGAAAATTTACCCCCAAGAAAATGCCTTTTTTTCCTCCTTCCCCTACAAATACTAAGCGCAAAGAGACAAGATTAGTTTCAGCTACAAGCCTCCGTTCACTTGGATGGCAGACATGGGATTTAAAGAAGCTGGCAGTTTCCCTGTGTTGCAGTGCAAAGTCCAATTTTCACCACTTCCAGGTTACTTAGTCTTGCAGGTGCTACATCATATAAATAAATAGCACAAAACAATACAGGGCAACCCTGTTTTAATGAAATCTGTAGGATCCAGCAAATTGAAGTCTGCAGTACGAACAAACATCCAAAACATCTGCTAACAGTCAGTGGTTCTGGGTTCGTGAAATCCCTGGGATTTGTCTCACATGCACTCAGAAATCTGCCCAACAGCTCTTCCAATGTACCTCTCAGTCAGGTGGTACAAGGGCAGGGGCTTGTGTGGGTGCGAATGGGGTTTGCCAAGGACAGGGGTTCATAAGAAATGTCAGGTTCGTAATGTATCTGCTTTATAAATCTTAGAGGTGCTGCATTGATGGGCGATGTTACTGGGTTTCTCCGGTATAAAGAACTTAAGGAAGCTATTGCTAATAAGATTGCTTTATTGTCTGTTTGGTCATATTACATATGTGGAACTCTCAGCCTGGTTTGGATACTCTTAAGTATGTGATGGGTTTCCACATGTGTTTGGCCAAAAATAAAAGTGCAAAGCAAGCTTTTGAAAAATCTGATGCACCATTGCCTTTATGTCAAATACTTAACCAGCACACAAACAGTGGTGAACAGAGATTGGCATTGTGTGTATAAGTCCTTGGCCAAAGAATGGCGAAGGTCATTCAAAACTCTGCGCCCGCATTCTCACCTGCACAAAACTTCGTACCCCAATTACTCCAGTCTTTGCCAAACTTCACTGACTCCCTGTCACAGAGCGGATCGACTTCAAGATCCTCACTCTAGTGTTTAAATCCCTCCATTCTTTGGCACCCCCTATCTCTCTAACCTCCTCTCTCCCCACAGCAGTACCTGCTGCCTCCACTCTACTGGGTTCAGCCTCCTCTGTGTCCCCCCACATCCTCCACTCCACCATCGCCGGCCATGCCTTCAGCCACTACGCCCCAAAACTTTGGACCTCCCTCCCTCAACCCCTTCGCCTTCCCCCCCTCACTCCTTTCCCATCTTCAGGTCGCGCCTGAAGACCTTCCTTTTTGACCGTGCCTACGGTCACCTTCCCCCTCCCCCTGGCTTGGCCTTGAGCTCTACCATTGTTAAGCACTCTGCAATGCCGCCCAGCATGGAAGGCGCTATATAAGTGCAAGTTGTTGTTTTCAGTGCTGTGTGCTTTAAAAGTAGCTACCAATTTTAAGCTTAAGCAAGCTACGTAGAGCAACAGAGAGTGATACAGCATGGCCATTTGACCCAACTAGTGTGTGCCACACAAGCGCCCACTCCTCCTACTCCCCTTACCATTGCCCTTTTATTTATTTCCTTCTCCCTCATATATGCATCAAATTTTTTCTTCAATATATTGCTTGTACTTTTTTGCTTTTTACTTCAACCACATCTTAGGAGTAGGGAGTTCCACATTCGCACCATTCTCTGCATGAAGAAGTTCCTCCTAAACTCCCTATTAGATGTGTCGCTGGCTGTCTTATATTTTACGTTCTCTAGTTTTAGCTCCTTCTGAAGAAAGACAATGAGAGCTCAAATTATCTTTTCGGTTCACATTGATGTATCATGACTCATGAAGTATCCCTAAATATTTTGCTCTATTGAGCACAGTGGTGCCAGCATTAGTTTTGATTTTGGATATGAGGGATCGCTTTGATGGATGGCCAGGATCTTCAATGTGCTTCGTGGAACAAAAGTGTCCGTACTTATTTTAACTGTGAGAAGTGCATAATAATAATAATAATAATCCTTGCATTTGATATAGCGCTTTTCAAGTCTTCTAGATGTCTCAAAGTGCTTCACAGAATAGACTGTAAAGTGAATTAACTGTATATTTGTGGGCAAAATGCAGCAGCCAATTGCGCACAGCAGTGTCCCACAAACAGTCATGGATTGAAATGACCAATTTATTATTGTTTTGTTTTGTCGGGATTATTATTAGGCGTGTGGAGTAAGAAAACTTGCCCATGGTTTTGCCCTGCCTGGAATTGAACCCAGGTCTCTCACTTGCAAGGCGAGTGCTCTAACCACTGAGCTACAGGACTCCACGAAGCATAACCCAGACCTCCTGCTGGAGTAGCAAACCAAGTGAAGGTCAATGGGCTGTCTTCAGTGTTTGCACAAATACTTAGAATCTTTGCTTTTGAAATTGTCGGCCACTAAATAACTAGCCATCTAAAAACTATGTTAACCACTTTGCTGCAATTAACAGTATAAGGGTAAAGTTTACGGCATTGAATAACAACAACAACTTGGATTTATATAGTGCCCTCCACTCCGGACGGCGTCTCAGAGCGCTTCACAGTAACGGATCCTGGGGCCGAGCCAGGGGGAGGGGGAGGAAGGTGACCAAAGGCGCAGTCGAAAAGAAAGGTCTTCAGCAGAGACCTGAAAATAGGAAGAGAGGGAGCGAGGCGAAGGGAGTTCCAGAGCCTCGGGGCATAGTGGCTGAAGGCACAGCCGCCGAGGGTGGAGCAGAGGACTCGGGGGACAAGGAGGAGGCCAGACCCGGAGGAACGAAGGCAATGGGCACTGTTTTGAGGAGAGAGAAATTTAGCGAGGTAGGGGGGGTGCAGAGGAGTGGAGGGATTTGAAGACAAGGGTGAGGATCTTGAAGTCGATCCTCTCTGGGACAGGGAGCCAGTGCAGTCTGGCAAGGACTGGAGTAATCGGGGAGCGGAGTTTGGTACGGGTGAGAATGCGAGTGGCAGAGTTTTGAATAATCTGGATTTTATGGATGGTAGTGGATTTCATCTCCATTCCTATCTTTCGGAATCGTACATCTTTATTACACCAATGACTGTGAGCTCTGCTGATGTACTGCTTTCTGCTAATATACTCACGTCCCCTCCCTTTGTTTCTTTCAGAGTCGACTGTCTTTATTCCTCAGTCTTCCTACACCATTGAGGAAGATGCTGGCGAGCTCCTGATACCGATCAGGAGGACAGGAGATGTGAGCCAGGAGCTCATGATTCTCTGCTACACACATCAAGGTCAGTCACCCGTCAGGACACCCAGTTAAGGTGGCATGTACAAACCACCATTTCTATTGCTGATCTGTGCAGAACTCTTATGGTTCTTTTATATTGTGTCTTTGCCTCTGATGGCAACCTGTAATGTAAAGAGTCCAAATAGACCCACATCTTCCATGGACGAGATAAAACGTGCCGAAGTGGAAAGTTGTAAGAGATCTAGGGGTGTAAGTTCCCCATGTTAAAACAGTGTGAGGCAGCAATAAACAAGTGAGATACCAGGCTATATTGCCAAATCAGTTGAGTTCACATCCCAAGAATTAGGCTATATAGTTCTCTGGTCAGATCATACCAAGAGTGTTGGCATACAGATCTGATCAAAGTGACATAAGAGAGCTGCCCAGACACAATCAATTTGGATGTTTAAAAGATAAGACAACTGTCATAGTCAATTGTTTTGAGTCCAATATTTCAGCAGCTTCGTTAAAACTGAGCACGAATAAATGGCCGACTTCTGTTCAATGGGCCGTCCCTAATATCACTTCCTGCAGGTTGTGGTTTGGAGAAAAGGTGAAGTGGGATTTCACCATCTGCCACAATCTAATAGACTGGTGAACAGGCTTGATGGGCTGAATGGCCTCCTCCTGTTCCTGTCTCCCTGAGTCGTCGTGCTATTTATGAAGGAAGGTAATCTGAGGTTTCGGATGAAAATGAAAAAACACAACAGCTGCACCACAGGGTGAGGCTTGTGTGTCTCACAACACATTTCATCTCTCGGGTGCTGCAATATAATAGCAGCATTACACCACCCTACAGTTCAGCCCGTCAAGGGGATGTGGATTGATAGCAATTAGAGACACGATACTCCGTAAGAAAACTCCTTTAAGCCTATTTTTGTGAGATTTTGTTTCAGATCTTTTCAGAGCTACTAGTTTGCAATTTTCAAAATATTCACGGCCATTAATCTCTTAACATAAATAATCCTTGCATTTGATACAGCGCCTTTCACGTCGGGAGCACAGCTCAAAGCACTTCACAGGATTTACGATAAGTGTAGTGACGCTGTCGGCAAACTCAACAGCCAATTTACGCACAACAATGTCCAACAAACAGCTTCTTGTACATTTCTGGACATCACTGAATAATAATAATCCTTGCATTTGATATAGCGACTTATCACTTCGTTGAGATGTCTCAAAGCTATATTGTAAAGTGGATTGACTGGGTATTTTGTGGGTGAAATGAATCTCTCAGAATTTTGAGCGGATATGCATGAGATTCCCTCCTAGTGAGCTCTGGGTGATGTTCTGGTGTAACACAAACAGCCATTCTCTCGAAGCAGCCTTTCCTATTTCACACCTTCAGATCATCAAAGCTCTCATCTTGAGTTACTGATCTGGGTTTAAGAATTCTGCTGGTGTTATCTGAAAAGTGAATGTCTCCCCGGATCCAAATCAAACCACACTGTGCATGTAGGAACAGAATACGGTCTCTAACTACGATCAGCTGCTCTGCTTGAGTTGAAAGATGGATTTCATTCTTATGTTAGCAACCCCAGCCGAGCTAAGTTAAATCAAGAGATAAGCCACTGAAAAGGGCCATTTGTTCAATTAGTCCATGCCGGTGTTCATACTCCTCATGGGTCCCAACTCCTATTCCCCTCACCTATAGCCCTCTATTCCCTTCTCCTTCATATATGCATCAAGTTTTCTTAAATACGTTGATGTTATTTGCTTCAACAACAGCTTCAAATAGTGAGTTCCACATTCTTACCACCCTCTGCGTATAGAAGGTCCACCTAAATTCCCTATTAGATTTACCACTGGCTATCTTATTTTGATACCATTTAGTTTGGGACTCACCAACAAGTGCAAACCTCTTATCAAATCCTTATCATAATTCTCTGAACAACTCTATCAGGTTCCCTCTCAATCATCTGAACTCCAGAGAGGATAGCTGCAACCTGTCCAATCTTTCTTGATAGCTGTATCCACTCATACCTACTAATATGTGTGTAAATAATTATTAACATTGTAATCTATTTATATGGCATATAAATTTACATGTATTGTGGAGTTGTGTAGCTCAGTGGTTAAAGCACTCGCCTCACAAGTGAGAGACCTGGGTTCGATTCCTGGCAGGGCGAAATGTTGGGCAAGTTTCCTTACTCCGCACGCCTCTGTTTACCTAGCAGTAAGTAGGAACCCGGTTGTTAGTCGATTGGCGGATCGCTTTTCCAGGGGTAATAATTCCTTTAAAAGAAACTAAATAATAATAATAAATTGGTCACTTGAATCCACGAGTGTTTGTGGGACACCCCTGTGTGAAATTGGCTGCCGTGTTTCGCCCCCAAAATATACAGTCAATTCACTTTACAGTATATTCTGTGAAGTTCTTTGAGATGTCTCGAAGACGTAATTAGGTGTAATATCAAATGCAAGGATTATTATTATTATAGCATCCTTCACTGGGGGCAGAATCTTGGAGCGCTTGATAGTACAATATCTTTCCATTAATATGCTGACAGTAACTGTGCACAGTTTTCCAAATATGGTCTAACCTGGGTTTTAGATATATTTAACATTACTTGGCAGATAAAATAAATCGATAAAATAGGAATTTGAACACAGAAAGAGGTCAACAAATCCACAAAGCCTGTGTTGTGCACAGCTCCACTGCAGCTGTCTACTACAATCCCAATTTCATGCACTTTCCCCCCATTTCCCATTGTTTCTCTTCAAACACTTATGCAATCCTTATCTAATTCTACATAGATTTATTTTTGTGTCGCACAACAAAGTAAACGCAACAAAATGTAGTTTGGGAATAGGGGAACACCGTTCCACTGCCAGCAATAAACAAAGCAACAACTGCATTCGACTCAGTAGAGCTTCATATCACCCCATCCCCCCTCGGCTCCCACCCCCAGTGACTAAAGTGCTTTGAGATGTCCTCCCAACCTGTAAAGTACTATATAAATATACATTGCATTTATCGACTACTGAGACTGCAGATGTTAAGATGAAAGACTGAAACCCTTCTTCTGCTTTAAACTGCCATCACCGCCTTTCCTCTTAGCTCCACCTTCACTGTTTTGTCCTTGCCTGGTTTCATTCTTACCATCCCAAAGTCTCCACTTCAGATCTGCTTCTCCCACCGCCGCACTGAAACATGTATCATTCCTCAGGGCTGTATCCTCAGTCCGTTCCTCCTTAATATCTACATATTCTCGCTAGGCGATGTCATCCGCAGGGATCAGATTAACTTCCACATGTATGCAGATGACCCGCTACACCATCTCTGTGTCTCCACCCTCAATTCCAGGATCACTGCTGTTCTGACTGATTGCCTGTCAGGCATCAAGTCCTGGATGAAAGCAAACTTTCTCCAGTTGAATATGACAAGACAGAGTTCCTCCTGTTTGGCTCCTGGCAGCATCTTATCATCTCAGGCACTGACACCACCACTATTCATGGATGCAGATACCACCCACCTCATGGAGTCGGTGCGGAACTTCAATGTCTTGTTCGACTGTCAGCTGTCCTTTAAACCTCTCATCTGTGACTTGACCCATTTAGTTCTCTCCCGATTCCGCAACATTGCCACTACATCTCCCCTCAGACCTTTATTCATTCTTTTATCATGTCCAAGCTAGACTATGCCAACTCTCTGCTAAACGGACTTCCCAACTCTTCCCTCCACAAGCTACAGACCATTCAGACCCCTACAGCTCATGTCTTCTCCACGAACCCATCACCCTCATCCTTGCTTGGCCTCACTGGCTCCCCATCCCCCAGGGGATCAAATTCAAGATCCTCCCCCTCACTTTTAACCCTGTGTCTTGCCCCACCTTACCTCTGTGACCTTCTAAATCCTACCAACGGTACCAAGCCAAGTCCTTGCTGGACGCTGGCCTACTTCATGTCCCTGCCCTACCTTTTTGCCCTCACCCTTTGGAACTCCATCCCGAAGCCCTGTTGTCTTGCCCCTTTCCTTATCTCCTTCAAGGTCTGTCTGAAGACCACGCCTTCGGTCTTCTTCCCAACCCTCCTGAATCCGGGAAAGCTGATGTTTTTAAAATGCTGACAGGTTCTGTTTAAAAACCCACTACATGAATATCTTGTTGGGGTTTCATGACCTTATTGATACAGTATGTGAAGAGTAGTTTAAACAGGCTAGCTCTGGTGCTCATGCCTCTCGCCAACAGGAAGACCTTGTTAATTTCTTATGCTGCAGCTGACAAGTTAGTGATGAGTTAGATTTGAATTATCCATTACATCTCAAGGTTCGGCGCAATAATAATAATAGTAAAAATAATAATAATACTATGGTTACTCAATTCACAACTGTTTGTGTGACACTGCTGCGCGCAATTGGCTGACGCGTTTCGCCTACAAATATACAGTCAATTCACTTTACAGTGTATTCTGTGAAGCGCTTTGAGACGTTTAGAAGACGTGAAAAGCCCTATATCAAATGCAAGGATTATTGTATAGCGTCTTTCACATCGGAAGGATACCTCAAAGTACTTTGCTCTGCTGGCTTGGGGTGGACGTTGACGGGGTTGAGAAGTGAAAAGATGACCGAAAGCATGGTCAAAAGAGTACATTTTGAGACGGATCTTGAACAACAACAACAACAAGATTCCATTTATAAAGCGCCTTTCACGTCAGGAGGACGACCCAAGGCGCTGCACAGTTGGGTCATGACCCGAGCAGGGGGGAAATGGTCAGGGTGAGGGGAGGGAGGGAGCGAGGAGGGGGAAGAGAGTCGAGAGGGGAGCTGAAGGCACGGTCAAAGAGAAAGGTTTTGAGACCGGCCTTGAAGGAGGAAAGGGAGGAGGCGGCGAAGGCACTGGGGGATAGAGTTCCAGAGCCTCGGGGCTGAGAGGCTGAAGGCCCGACCACCAATGGTAGGGCGATTGGGGGATGTGGAGCAGACCGGAGCCGGAGGAACGGAGGGTAACAATGGAGGGAGGAAGTGAGTTGGAGGGAATCTATGATGGAGAGAAATCCATTACTATATATCCGAGTATCCAGAATGAAAATAAAAAAAAATGGAAACAGTCTCTCAATGTTCACCCAATCAAATCCGCTCATAATTGCACTGTATGAGGAAATGAAGCCATCCTTTCTGTTTTGCCCATGACTGATCATATTATTTTACAGCCAATTGGATTCCCAGCACTTGAGGCTGAAAAGCATCAACCATGAGCAGAGTTCAGAAGACTAGCCTCTGGTATAAAACTCCTAAATTAACTACAGTTCACAGAGAGAAATATTAGTGAATTATTGATGGAAGCCTGAAGCTGATTCAGTAATTGGAAATGCCAAGCTAAATCCTACACACAATAAGTTTGGCTTGATGTTATTTTAGTTTAAGTACTGTTGTATCAGGGTTTAATACCAAGTTTACATGTAGTCCTTTCTAATGTGTCAATCCCAAGTGTAATTAGATGTGCCAGAGGCAAATTCCCTTGATATTGTTGGATATTAATAAGCTGTTTCCACTTGTTGCTGATCCAAAACAAAAGGACATAAATACAAGGTAGCCAGCGGTGGATCTAAAAGGGAGTTCACAAGTTCACAACTTCTTTATGCAGAGGACGGTGAGAACGGAACTCACTGTCGGAAGCATGAACACATTTAAGAGAAGATTGGTTGTGTGGGAGAAGGGAATACAGAGGTTTTACCAACCTTCTGATTAATTTTGATTATTTGGGTTAGAAATTCCATTTAGGTCTAGATTTACTCTATTTTATCTATTTACCACATAAACTCCTTCTGATGTGAAAGGCGCTATACCAAATGTAAGGATTAAAAAAAATGTGGTCACTCAATCCAAGACTGTTTGTGGGACACTGCTGTAAGCAATTGGCTGCCGTGTTTTGCCCACAAAATGCACAATCAATTCACTTTACAGTATATTCTGTGAAGCGCTTTAAGACGTCTGAATGACGCGATAAAGCGCTATATCAAATGCAAGGATTATTATTATTTTTGTAATATTTTAGAGTCCAGAATTTGACAAAATCAGCTTTAATTTTGAAGTCTGTTTCTTGTAAGAACTACCGAACAACTGACTTCAAAGTTACAGCTGAATTTAACAAGTTGCCAAATTCTGAATGCTCTAAAAGGCTACATAAATCTAGACCGGGTAGAACTTCTCCTTGATGGTAAGTCTGATATTGACTTTTATGTAACAGATAAAGATGGGCAGCACCACAGTTGCAAAGTATTTAGTTCCTGAGATGACAAGAGAATGAAAATGTTGGTTCAGGACAAAGGAAGAGATTATTGGCTCGGATTAGATGCTTGAGATTGAAATAAATCTTTTGATCCTTTTATTGCAGGCACTGCCACTGGGACCATCCCAACCACTGTGCTGTCCTATTCTGACTACATTACCCGGTCTGAGGATCACAACAGTGTCATTCGCTTTGACAAGGATGAAACAGAGAAATTCTGCCGCGTTGTCATCATTGACGACTCCCTCTATGAAAACGAGGAGACTTTCAACATCACCCTGAGCATGCCCATGGGGGGCAAAATAGGAGAATTCCCTTCCGCTCAGATTATTATCCTGCCAGATGCAAACGACGGTAAGGCCTGATCTGTTCACCTTGTTCCATCAGTGGGTGACCGTGACAACCAACCGGCAGGTATGTCCAATCTGGCCCATGTTTGAAATTCCTTTGCTTGGGGATTCTTCCCAATTAGCTCCTGTTAATCCTGCATGCAAAGCCGAGGTGAGTAGGGTGTCCCAGCTCGGCAGGCAGTAGGAAGCTTACCACGCACTGCTCTCAATGGCAAGCTGTGCTGTTTTAGCTAGTTAAATTCCAGCAGGACCCCAACTTCACTCTGGGGTCCCCAAGTCTTAGCTCCTGCTCCGGAATTAAGTAGGGTGCATCCCTCCAAGGAGAGTGTGTGCATTCCATTCACAGGGAAATTTCCATGTGTGTCATATGTGGGTGGAATATGTAAGGATATGTAGGTGACATATGGATGTTGAACTCTCAATCTGGTTTGTATACTCTGAGGCATGGTGATGGGTTTCTGCATGTAATGATGGCAATGGTTATGGTTACGTTTCATTTGTTTTATACAGCAGGAGGCCACAAGTGTCCATTGTCTAGCAGTTGAAATCCTGTTGAATTCAAAACTGATGGGGTTCATAAAAGTTCAGATCAAGAACGTAGAGAATGCTACAGGAATATGTGTGAAGCATGACCGGGGTAATTATTCTGTCTAAACCAGGACTAGAGGATAATTGAACAGCAGATTATAAACACTCCACTCTTTCCCGTCACCTGAGATGTCTCCAGTTTGCTTCTGTCTAAGAACGCTGCTTTACCTGACTGTTGGCTGTGCTCAGTATGGGCTCTCGCTAGCGATTTGAAGTTTTATTATCAACGGTCACGTGAGGATAACGGCTCAAAGCACTTCACAGAATTTACTATTCAAGTGTAGAGACGGTATGTATTTTGTAGGAGAACGAGGCAGCTAATTTATGCACAGCAATATTCCACAAACAGCTATAAAGTATGAATGATCATTTTTATCTGGGTAGATTATTGGCCAGGATACTAGGAGAAACTCTGTTCTCTTTTTGAATAGTGCCGTAGGATCTTTACCGTTCACCTGAACAGGCAGGCAGATTCAGTGAGACATCTAATCTGAAGCATGACATCTCCATGCCTACTTTTGCCGTTTAGTTCAGCATGTTAGCTCTGAGAGGGATTATGGATTTGGAAAAGTCAACAGGTTGTGTAAATGGGAGGGAGTTTAGCCTCTTTAGAGGTGCTTGGGCACGACTGTGTAGATGGAAGCAAGATTTTTTTCTCACCTGAAACAAAATGCAGGCAACAAAATGGAAAGAATTTCATTATTTGCCTCTCAACATTCAACCATAAAACACAAGCAAAGGACTCACTCCTGAAAGGGTGTTAATGAAGCTTAAAGCAGCCTTGGGTCGCTGACAGATAGCTGGCTCAATGGGCGGCATTTAACCCTTTGTGCTTCTGGCAGCATGCCTGTACCGAGTCAGACTCAGCAATGTCCAAATTACTGCATCGGAGATGCAAGAAAAATTGAACTGTCCATATTGTCAAGTTACAGTTTATAGTAATAATAATAATCCTTGCATTTTTGATGTTGTGTTTTTCACGTCGGGAGGACGTCCCAAAGCGCTTCACAGAACACACTGTAAAGTGAATTGACTGTATATTTGTGGGTGAATGCGGCAGCCAATTGCACACAGCAATGTCTCACAAACAGTCGTAGATTGAAAATGACCAATTTATTATTGTTTTTGGTTTTGGAGGGATTATTATTAGGCTCTGTGTGGAGTAAGGAAACTTGCCCAAGGTTTCGCCCTCTGCCTGGAATTGAACTCAGGTCTCTCGCTTGCAAAGTGAGTGCTCTAACCACTGAGCTACAGGACTCCAGTTTGTCATCATTGATAGGAGAATTATAGATATCACCAATGAAGAGTTCAAGAATTGACCATTACAAGATAACATAGAGAGGTTTAGCTCTAGGTGACTAGTGAGGAAGATTTCCATTACAGCAGCACATTGGCTGATTCCCATTTATCAGTGAGCAAAGACCTGCCTGACAAGCCAGATCCTTATCTTGGCCACCAAGTCTGTTTTCCCATCGTGAGCATAATAAGAAACTGTTTTCTTTGGACAGTGTTTCAGCGAGGCCTTTCTTCCTACGATCAACACCTTGCTTAAGATAAGCTCCATTTCAATTGTTGCAACACATAATTTACACCACGTCAGGATGAACAGTGAGTTAGGTATGTTTGGACATGAAGGTACAAACTTTGAAATGCCCTTACGTGAGAGGGGTTGAGTAGAAATACAAAATACAATATAAAATTAAATATGTATAGCGCCTTTCACGTCGGGAGGACATCTCAAGGCACTGAAAATATGTTATCTGCCTGCAAAAACAATGGAATAACTCCCCACACTCTCATTAGGATTTGTATGTAGTTGATAAAGATTTTACGTTTTCTAAATAAAATATTATTAGACGACAACCACAGCAGCAATGTGCATTTATAAAGGACCCTAAATGTGGGTAGAACCAGAAAAACTATATAAAAGGGTATAAATAACATTGCTGGGAAATCAGGAATTTAAATAAGATTTTAAGTCCCTGAGTCAGAAGGTTGTTTGAGTGCCATGTCATAGAATCATATAATAGAGACTTTGAATTCACATATTCCAGGCTGTCATTCCAGTTGCAGTGCTGGGGGTGTATTTGCACTGTCAGAGGTGCCATCTTTCAGATGAGACGTTAAACCAAGGTTCCATCTGCCTGTTCAGGTGCTGTTAAAGAACTCACGGCACTGGTTGAAAAGTAAAGACAGTGTCTTAACTAACAATCCCCCAGATTAAATTGGTCATTCACTTCATGGCAGTTTGTGAGACATTGCTGTGCGCAAATTGGCTGCCATGTTCGCCTACAAAATACACTGCCATTACACTTTCAGAAATCTTCAAACGCTTTGAGATGTCCTCCAATGTGAAAGGCACTGCATCAATTGTAAGGATTGTTATTATTATTTTGCATCAAAGAAAGTACCTTGAGAGGTCAGTGCTGATGGGACCCTCATGTACATTATGTATTGTAATATACTGATGTTAGCTGTTTAGTTTATCGTGGGTTTCACGTTATGCTCATGGGATTCCCTGGAGGAGATGCACTTCACACCTCAAAGGCTGTTGACACTGCTGGGTCCCCTGAGGAGTACTATCCTTAAACTCCATGCTGCGGTGTTTTGAATTGCACTGACTTACATCGCAGGTTTCACTTTCCTTTGTTTCAGTTCAATGCGGGGGGTGGTGGGGGGGAGTGTTGGCGAGAGAAGAACTGATAATTTCTCCAAACCAGACTTGCTCGGACTAGATAAGTCTTTTTCTTTCAAACAGTTTAAAGCTGCAATGTGGTTACATTTGGATCCTTTCATGTTAAACCCTATCATTCGCACCAAATTGCACTTAAAACAAAAAGTCTTTTCTCAGAAGTTCCTGCAATCGTTTTGTGCAAGCTGAGAATCGAAGGTGTGTTTTTGTTAGCTGGTGTTTGCTGTGTGTTCCTGTTAATGCCATTTGCTAAGCAAAGAACACATTTTTTTTAAATTAAAGGGATTGAATTTCAAGCTGTTCTTGCCTATAAACATTGTTGATCTTTAAAGGTATTGCATTTAATTGTGGGTCAGTGTATACCTTTAAGCTGTCACAGTGAAACACCGTTTTGTTGCCCAACTTTAGCTCTTTTATCTGAAAAATGTGAAAAATTCCCATTTTGTTTTTTTTTTAAATGGGAGCTCGCTGGCCCTTTTTGACCTGTTTCATATGGAAAGGGTTAAAGAAGGTTGGATTTAGGGTAAGGAGAGAGTTATGTACATATTTAATTTGTGTTTTATAGGAGGTAACATATTTGAACTTGTTACCAAATGGATCATTAACTGAAAGGGCCTTTTGGATGCAATAATAATAATCCTTGCATTTTTTATAGTGCCTTCATGTTGGGAGGACAACTCAAAGTGCTACTATAAAGTGTAGTTACTGTTTGTAAGTTAACACAGCAGCCAATTTGCGCACAGCAATGTCCCACAAACAGCTATGAAGTAAATGATCAATTTCAATTTAGGAGATTTATCTGGGGTTATCAGCCTGGCTCAGTTGGTATCTATTTCAACTCTGAGTCAGAAGATTGTGGGTTCAATCCCCAAATTGGGACTTGGAACAAGTATAGCCTACGCTGACACTGTAATGCATTGCTGAGGGTGTGCTTCAAAGTTGGATGTACTGTCCTTGAGATGAGACAATAAGCTGTCTGCCTGGTCAGGTGAACTTTGAAAGTCCCATGGCACTATTCAAAAAGAGAAGGATGTTTCTCCAGGTGTTCTGGACAAAAATCCCCCGGATAATGTTGGTTATTTACTCCATGGCTGTTTGAAAGACACTGATGTGTACAAATTGGCTGCCATGTTCACCGTGAGAGAATAGCCTATCATTTGCAGGTCAGTTATCCAGGTGTGTCTGAATTAGCAACAGTACCAGCCCATCTTTTGACATATTCGCATTCAAACCAACTCAGAATACTGAAACTGATGTGAATAAATTGAACGTTGATTTCATTCAATTGTACCTGTCACTAACTACAGTTTGAGAATATACAGGAGCCAACATGTATTCACCCACATCCTAGATTACAACAAGATGTGTTTTACTTTAAATGCAACAGGTCTAAGGTTGAATAGTTTGCTGGAGAACGGAGCAGTGTGGCTCCACATATTGTGCGAATGTAACATTCGAGCCAAGACCAGCATGTCTGTCCTTTTCAGACTGTGATGGTACAGGTGCCAGCAGCATGTGAAACCACCATGAAGGTGTCATCAGGCCCTCCCAGACGCCTCCTTAACACTTCCCGTCTCTGGGGAGGCCTGAATAGGCAACAAGGCAGATTGTAAAGACACCAGCTGCCCCTGATGTTCATTGTGGAATCAGTCAGGGTTCCTGGGAGTAGATCAATGTTTCCCATCAACACCTCGGGGATCCACGGAACAAGCATCAAGGATGGT